GTTCATCTTCCCAGAAGTTTTCTTCACTCTGGAAAGAAGGATATTTAAATAGTGCAACAGCAATAGCGTTGTGTTCTGACTTGCACCTGCTGATCTGCAAACCCTGTCCTCAGCCTTGCTGTACCAACCGATATTGGCTCAGCCTCAGAGAGAGCAATTCATACTTTCCTGTGGGTCTAGAGTGAGATCTTACAAAGAGGAGGATCCTGTGGTGTTCACAGTCCCTWATCACAAAGCCCAGGTGACCACAGAACTCACAGCACTGCTGGTTGTCCCAATTTCAGTGAGGATTTGGGGCCTCCACCCACCAYCACTCAGACAGAATACTGACACTGCATCATCGCTTCACTTTCTCACTAGATCATTTTTCCCTTCTTTTCAACAAGCCTTAGAGGGAAACAAAAATCATAGGCACAGAGGCAGGCTTGAACCATAAAACCTGCTGCAACCACACTGAGAAAACAGAAAAATCATGGGAAGTGTCACATTTACAACATTCAAACAAGTACTGCACACAGGTCAACCTCAAAATTACCTTCCAAACAGGGTAACACACGCACAGTTATCATTGCTTCTGGCAGTCACTGCTGTTTGATGACCTGTTCTCCCACCAAATTTCCCTACTAGAACACAGACCAGCAAAAACTGCACTCACCTCTATGGGCTCAGAAGGGGTTTCCAATTTGGATAGTTCAGCTTTGGCTTTTGCCTTCAAATCTGAGAGGTCTTCATCGGTCTCTTCCTTGGGCTCAGAAGGGGTTTCCAAYTTGGACAGTTCAGCTTTAACTTTTGCCTTCAAATCCGAGACATCTTCATTGGGTCCTTCGTGGTATTCATCCAGGAGAGGTTTGAGCTCCAGAGAATCAAACGGTGTCTGATCTTGGCCATCCATGGGTCTGACATAGGCAGTTGGTTTCTGCTGCATTGCACTGGCTTTTGATGTCAAAGAAGGGGGAAAAGTCTGAGAGGAAGGCTGAGTGGTGCTGGTCAAAGTAACGGCTGGGCTGTCCCGACTTTCCTTCTCCTGTGATCCTGTCACTAWGTCCTGTAATGATTTTGTTTGACTGTAGGTTGACCCATGACTTTTGCTGCTGTTCTGTGACCTGGAATTGATATGCTGGCTGGAATGTAGAGGTGACAGGGGTGCCACTGGAGAAGACAACAAACATGGCAGGAAGGGGGAAAGCCCCAGAGGGGAGGCCTGCAGGCCATGAGCACGGCCTTCCCCATTCCCAGGCTTGTCATTGTGACCGTGGGGAAAACCTGCCTGCCTGTCCCGGCCACCACAGCTGAGTTCCTGACCGTGGCTCCGAGCGCTGGGTAAGCTGCGGCTCTTGCTGTGCAGACCTGAAGCTGGTTCTGTTCCTGACTGTGCCTTTAGGTAGTGACTGGAGTGGCTTGGAGGATGAGGGGCTACAACCATAGGTCCCACGGGTGGACGGCGGGTGGGGTGCTGGAATGAAGATGGCAACGTACGGATGGACTTCTCAGGGAAGTACGGGCGATCGGGCTGTCCGGGGGGAAACAGAGGGGCAATGCTCTTTGGAATTCCTATAAGGTTCTGACAGGATTTGTTGCTCATGAACTCTTTGACCTCCTCATAATTGACCAGCATGTTCTGAATTCGGCTTGACAACTCATCTTCTTTATTAGTCTGCAACAGAAGAACAAAGAGATGGACACTTCAAGAGATCCCCCCAAGAGATCCAGCTCAGGAAGAGACGTTCTTCAGGATTTTAATTTTATCACCACGCATCACCRTGAGCGAAGTTAGGCAAGCTCATCTTGATCCTGCAAATCTCTTCAAAGCAGACGGGACTGCTTGAGCTACGAGGGGTTATTCCAAGCCAAGCTTGGTGCATGTGCAGCCTCCRGGAGCACTACCATCAGATCCATTTGTTATACCCACAGCTGCAGGCAGRCAGACAGCCAAGCTGCTCCTGAGCACTGTCCCTCAAACCACAGGAAGCCAACCCAAAGTCTGTACTGCCCCTGCACAGCCAACAAACATCTAAGCACATACTGTGCTTGGAAACTGTGTGTGGAACTGAAGTTAAGCAGATAGGAAGATGCTGTGTTTGTATTTATCATGCTTAAGTCTGCTACACCTAATGCAGAGCTACAGCTCTGGTTTTCCACCCCAACCCTCTTTTCTCCTCTTTCCCCACCCCACACTCCCTACCATTACCTTGTAGGGTTCTGCAAAGAGGGGAGTCTTCTTGGAGAACTGATTTTTGTCTTCCAGAGCCTCCTGACTCCGTCTCTCTTTCTCTCGAATCCGCAGCAAGTTTCTGTCCTCATTGCACAAGCTTTAGGTAGAAGAGAAAGAAAGGATGATTAATATTGSACACCGGTGTTATCAACAAGTATCTACTTTGTACAGAAGCCCTGGTTTTCAGGTAATGGCATATATCCAGAATGAAAGTAATTTTGAAATCCATGAGATGGTTACAGGTGACAAATCAGTTACATCAAGAATTTGCTGCACAGCACACTAATGTGACACAGAAGATACAGGGACCCTTCTTGGTAATTTGCACTTCTCATACAATCCTCCAAGAAGAATGGGAAGGAAAAAGCTATCCATCCATTTAATTGTGAAACAAATTGAGAAGCAGTCAATGGGGGTGATAAGCATGCCAGCTGGCGRATTGCTTGCAACAGTAAGTGTGAAAAACTGCCATTCTTGTTCTCCTTCAGGCTTCCACCCCAACTCTTCACCCAGGAGTAAAAGAGAATTCACTATTTTGAAGGTGTTGCCATTTTTAAAGAACAAACCTTGCCTGCTTGGAAAAAAAACAAGGTAATGCTACTTGGCAATAAACAGGCTGGAAAGCTGCTCACCAGAAAACCCACGTARTTGCATTTAAAGCAATCATGCAAACATATTTAGAAAGAATGCCTCCGAAATTCAGAAAACACCAGGTCAAGTCTCCCTGTTCCTCCTCAACAACATCTGCATGAACTTAATTCCATTGGTCCCACACCAAAGCACCAACATGCACAACAGACCAACTTAATGGAAAACCAGATCCTTTCACCTTGCCTGTGAAACACTACTGCAAAACAAAGGAATCTCTTGCTCTWATCTTTATAGACATTGGGGAAGAAAAAGCATGCAAGCATCTCTATTTCTGCTATTTCTACTCTACTGCACAGTCTACTATACAAACGCAATTTCTATATTCATCTTCATACACTCAAATTCTCAAGTGTCCCACTTTGCAAAGGAAGAGCCTTGTCTTCCCTAACAGAGGTGTTGGAAATTATACCASTTTAAAACAATTTTCTATAACTTCAGTCAGAGATCCCRTTTGCCTTTGCCCTGGGGGAAGGTTTCTTTCCAGGGCATTGCTCCACCTGGTAAGGCCTGATGAAGTTAACATCTCAACAGACCCAGGAGCAGCACAGAAGATAAGGACCATCAAAAGCCATCAAGGATTTATCAACGTGCCATCAACGGAACATCACCCCTGGTGTTCTCAGAACACCTGGTCTAGGATAAAAAAAAAGATAAGGAGCACCTAATTAGCATCAGAGGCACAGAAAACCAGATCCAACAGGAACCCAAATACTGAGAACTGTGCAACGTTGGACCAATGAATATTAAACCAATAGAGTTCTATGTGTTTTGGCTGTATAAAGTTTGGGGGAAATCTTGTAAATTTTATGTGTCCTAGAATGGTTTTCTCTGCACACCCGGGCTATGTGTGGATGAAATTATTTCTGTGGCACATCCTGGCCAGAACAACATCCTGACCAGTAAATAAAGTAATGCCTGATTCTCTGTCACTCCAAATATAGTGTTAGAGAGTTTTCTTTTTCCCGCAGTTTYGGTGACAGAGGCATCTTCCTAAATGCTTTCCAATAGTCAGCTGCTGAAAGTTTAATCATCCCTAAAGGACAGGCACAGGACTGGCTTTGCTGTAGCAGTTAACCAAGAGGTCTGACTGCTGCAGAGGGGGTTTCCTGACTCAATGGGAACTCTGGAAAATTATGCTCCCGGATGGCAAATTTCTATATATGGAATTGCAGTAAGGATGTATTTGCACCACTAAGACAAAAAAAAAAAAAAAAAAAAAAAAAAAAAAAAAAAAAAAAAAACTTGTTCAGAGGTTGGACTGTGCACATTTAGCATAGTTTCCAACTTTGCTAGTGCTGAACTGTTTCCAAATATAGCAAAACAGAAGTGTCCAGTAATATCTATGCTCCCTACTTCTGCAAACAATTTTAAGCATTTGTAAAAAAAAAAGAAGAAAACATGAATCACAGGCCACTGCTTCAGTAAATACATAAAATCCCTCTGTAATAAACKGTATAATAGAACCATTTCCTTGTGCATCTGATGTCATTTCGCATGTGAGCAATTTCCTATCTATAAGCAGTTAGTTGGGCAGTTGCCCTGTGTGTGCCAGGAATGCTTTGTGCAGTCAAGTGCGAGAGACACCAACTGCAAAACACAGAAACTTAAGAAAAATTAGGAAGCAAACTGAAAGCAATCTTGGCTGTATTTACTGTCTAAAATTGTATGTTTGCAAATTATTTTTTACAGTGAATATGTTTCACAAAAAGGCAGGCCACATATTATGACCCTGAAATTGCCTTTTACTAAAACACTGTGCTACATCCATGTGGATTACGGATGTACTTCTATTTCTGGGCTGGCAAGCACCCAAATTCAGAGTAATCAAGTTGTTTTGTTTAGAGGTTCTGATCACATTCAAACAAAAGGAAAACCCTAAACCACTTGAGTCTTTCACAACAATAATATTTATGATGAGAAGTAGCTGTGTTTCCTATATGTACCCTGACAGTGAATGTAAAACAACCTTTGTGCTGCTTGCAGCAAAGACAGCAGCTGTAATRCCTCCAAAGGCCTTTTCTTTCCCCGAACCTTCCTTGACCCCAAGCTCTCTTCCCAGCAATAAATTCTTTCCAAAGAGTATGGAGGGGGGCAGAGGGGAGGGGCAGGGACASCGCCTTTTTGCCATAGTGCCAGTTCCTGATGGTTTAAGAGGAGATAAAGGTGCCTGCTCAGAAACACTCCGGTGGACATGGGTGCTCACACACGTACCGGAGTACTGGGCATTGGTGCCACTGCAGACAGCTCCGTGCCCTCACAGGGTACAGCAGCCCAGGGCTAACCATGCCCAGCTCACTGCCCCTGCAGGGTCATTCCCCTCCCATTGCTGCTCAGGATCACCACCCACCCTCTGCCACCTGGTCTGAAGTGTGTCAATGTWGTTTCCATGCTGAGTTTTCCTCCAACTCCATTGAACAGAAGGAGCTGCAGTTTCAAATGCAGAAGGATAAGGGGAAAAAAAACACTGAGCAGCTACTTATTTATTCATGCAGATGAGAGCAGCAGSTCTCCCTTCCCTRAACTRCAGAGAAGACCTTAAACTACCTAGRCAAGARCTGAAACTTCTTCCRATTCTATTTTATTGTCTAGGTGTCATGTTTGCATGCACACCACCTTATCTCATACTGAGGGGCTTTTATTTATAAAAAATAGGTTGTATTGCATTAGATAGCATTCTGAATTCAGAAGTGTCTGCTATCTACAGAAATGCCCACTTTTTAATTTGAGCCTGTGGATATCCTACTTTCAACACCTGTGGAGACACCATTTCTGCCCATCCTTCACCTGGCCAGTTGAGGGTATCCAAAGCTTTYGGAAACCTGGGCTATGTTGTAACTCCTACAGCAGCTACCCTAAGGTCAAGTGTCAGGAAGCCAGGCAGAAAGGCTCTGAGAGCCACGGTCAGCTCTGGCCCTGTGTGGCCCTGTGCCAAGAGGAGAGGAGGTCTCCGTGGCCTGCCAGGCGCCAGCAAGGAAACCCATGCGGAGACGCCGTCTGCCAGGCTCCAGCAAGGCGTCCCTCGCTCCAAAGATGCAGGGAGAACCCCAACTCCTGTTCATCAGGAACCTCTTCAGACTTGCAGCTTTGATATTCAGATTTTCCTAGAATGAGAACTCAAAAAAAACCTCAAAACCAGTCCCAAGCTGTTCCTGTTTGCAGAAATGCTTTGGGAAACTGGACTTCAAGGCTTGGCACCAACACACCAAGCACGTGGGAGCCTGGGAGATGGGGGATACATGCACAAATCACCACCATCCCCAAAACTGTGCTTTGCTACAGACTGAAACAGCAGAATTCTTCTAGGCTCAAAGCAGCCCAAGGTAAAGGTACTGCACCGGCTCCCATAAGAAGGGATTTGGTTCAGGAAGTTCAGCAAAGCACACACCCTGACCYGCAACATCATCCAGACATGAGTCTGTAACAGAAACCATAAAATACCAACGTGCTCTGAAGCTGCTCTCAGCRGCATGCCAACCCTTACTACAGAGTCTCAGATGCTGGAATGTGACAATCCAGACCATGACAACATTTTCAAAAAATAGCCTGGTGCAGGAAAAAATTCTGCCTCCTCTGTCCCATGTGTTCTCTAAATGAAAAAGCAATGAAAATAAAAATTTGCTTTAATTGTAATAAGATCTGGTGCTGGCTCCCAAAAGGAATTATCCAGGAGCAGGGAAGGGGGGTGGAGAAAGGCTAAAAACCAAACACACAAAAAACATTCATTTGCTTCCCAAAATGCAGAACCTCTTCCTCCAAAACACCGAGACACAACATTTCATTTTAATAGAACTGCAGGAAAAAGCATATTTATTGAAGCTGTTTTGTCATTAAAATTGATTCTTTTTTTAAAGAATGAGAAACTGCAGATCATGACTGAGAGACATATTTTTGCGTAAGGCAAGACACGTCATCCCCAAAAACAATTAAACAGAGATCACACAGATGCGTCACAACAGCCATGCTGCAGCACCCTGGCTCTGTTCCTATTAGAGTCTCCACAGAAGAACTGCCRTCAATTTATAGAGCCAAGATCACATCTGCAAAGACTAAATACGCAGTTCCATTCATCAGCTTGAAAAGAAATGTGGAATAAGGCATGGCACAGAAAGTTCCTGAGCATCACAGCTGTGCTCGGCTCTCACACTGGTATCACCCGAACAGCCTGACAGTGATTGCAACACTAACAGATGAAAGGACATTACAGTAAATACCAAACAGCATCAAAAACTCCTTGTCCCGACCTYTGCTTCCTTTCCTTTATGGAAACATCGACAAGTTGTGACTTGCTGAATTTTTTAAGTTCTGTTTCACATCAAACACTATTTCTCAGAAAATACACAGTTYGAACATACACAAAAGGTAAGAGAAAAACATGGAGCAGAAGTACAACAGAGGTACAGTTAATACTCTTTTGCATCATCATCATCATCAATCAGCTTTGGTACG